CATGGTCGATTTCAAAATAACGGCCCAATGCTAAGGTGTTTACAGCGGCCTTTTATTTAAAGAGGTCTTTTAATCGAAGCAGTCTTTTATTTCAAGAACATTGTCGAAAATTCGATGGGGGCTTGTAATAGTAGTCGGTCTTCTATTCGTAAAGTATGAGCAACAATGGGTAAAAAAAATTTAATCGAGCAATCTTTTGAGGCGCGATCTGCAAAGTGTTCATTGTAAGTTATGTTCACATATACCTCAATTTTTACAATTGTACGAAATCTCACATTTCACCTTTGTGTAATTGGGGATAATCAGATGTTTCAAAACATCGGTGCTTATAAAGATCATAGTGGAGAAAGTTTGTGGTGTTGGTGCAAATAAGATAGTATCATCATTATATATGGCACTTTTAAATAGCTGAGCAAGCTAAAAATTTTCCTAAATGGAGCGTACGACCCCCCTTCTGGATATTTGTAAAGCGAACTCTTTCATCCAAAGTTTACTCTGTGCAAGGCACTTGGTAACGCCGTTGCATTTAGTAAAACTTGAAATTAAATCAACGACCAAGTCATGAACGGATTGTATCATCTGTGATTATGAAATTGAGCTACAATATTATCCATCTTCGGAACAACTACACAAGTTTGCTATTGTGTCCTTAACTGACCGCGAGGAGGTTGGATGCTTGCCAGTCAAAGAGTCATGGAACACCCGAAATTGTTTAGGCATTTTTGAATGCCTAAACTAGAAGTCGATGAGAGCGCAGTGTGATGCTGCTGATGTAGAGCGTTTAATTATTCGAGGAAAGGGACGGGTAAATAACCTTCCTCTGGATGAGGGAAGTTAAGATGGCCATGAATTCGGTCATGCGCAATACAGAGCAACACCATGCATTTGTAATCTCCAGGCTAGAAGGTAGCGCGGGAAAATGGGCACTTACGTGCAGTGCCTCTGTTTAAAAGGCATTCTAGCAGGGGGGCATTTGAAGTGGTATATCATACGGGTGTTTGCACAGCCAAATCAGGCGTATTGAGAACGTGTCAAGCTCTTTTCACCAGTCAAACAAGACAACCAGATTATGCCAAGGCCTGCTCCAGGATGTGATGACCGCTGCCATCTTCACAGTGGGCTTCCGAACCGGCGCAGCTCGCGTCAAAATGTTCTGCATTTAACTCTCTTTTGAGAAAGATATGGATATTGCAAAAGATGTGGAGTACAAGGTTCAAAGGGCGAGAATACCGTAAATTATCAGATGCTCTAGAAACGCACTCGTTCAAACACACTGAGGAAGTCGAGGAAATCTCTTGGCGGTCGAGCAACTCCGAAGTAATTTTATCTGTGGAAAAAAAAAATTTGTCACTTTCTTTTTTCAAGGGACAAATAGGTGGGGTTGTCCTACAAATACCTCATGAGAGGACGTCAAATGTCAGTAATAGCACGACTACATACTTGTATAGAACTAAGCTTAATTACCGCTTCAAGGTTGTGGTCAATTTAACCTATCACTAGAAAAGCAACGCTTTGTAAAAATGGCGGCTCTAATCACCAGAGTTGTTTGCTGGAAACTTTAACGTCTCGAGCTTAGTGAAGGCGATTAAAGTCTTGGTAGGTTCAGGAGCGTTGTGCACGATGTAAGATGAACAACTATTAAGCGACTCAACGGTACATAGAGACATTGAAGATATAGGTGACCACCTCTGGATGCGCATGATCAAGTTCATCCGCAAGGTGGAAGTGTTGAAGGTACATTAATTCTTCTAAGGTCTACACATCCAGTGATTCTGAGAGAATTCCAACAATTTACTCTATGAAATTTGCATTATTTTTCGTGAAGAGA